AGGAATGCCCCATAAATGTTACCATGGCAAAACTGGAAGAGTCTACAATGTTACCCAGCATGCTGTTGGCATTGTCATGAACAAACAAGGGCAAGATTCTTGCCAAGAGAATCAATGTGCGTACTGAGCATATTAAACATTCAAGAGCAGAGATAGCTTCCTAAAATGTGTGAAGGAAAATGACCAGAAAAAGAAAGGAGCCAAAGAGAAAGGGACCTGGGTTCAACTAAAGCGCCAGCCTGCCCCACCCAGAGAAGCCGCTGCATGAGAACCAATGGAAAGGAGCCTGAGCTACTGGAACCTATTCCCTATGAATTCATGGCATGATGGGTGTTAAAAATAAACTAATCTGTGGTCTATAACAATAAATAAATAAATAAATACATTCTGTAATTAATATTTAGGTGTTGTAAACTATTGTTACAAATGTAGCCAAAGTGTTGTACTTTGAGGAATTCAGTGTGTCACAGTCTGTCAGTTTAAAATGCAATAGAAACAGTTGTAAAACAAATTGGTTTTTCTTGGCAATGTGCTTCAAGAAAGTAAAGAAAAATACTTTTTTTCAAAAAATGGTTTTAAAAATATTTATTGAATTCTGGAGAGAGAATAGTCTTTAAAAATATTTTTATTTAACTTTATTTATTATTGTTACTGTTTTAATTTGACCAGAGAGAGAGGGAAAGTGAGAAAGCAAACCACCAGGTTCGGGACTTAAACTGCAGTTGATGTGGGAATCCAGAGCCCTTAACTACAATGCCACCTGCCAGCCCCACTCCTTTTTTTTTTTTTTTTTAAATTTATTTTATTTTATTTAGTATCATTTTTCAATTTGAGCAGAGAGAGGGAGAGAGGGAAAGTGAGAACACAAGCCACCAGATCCAGTACTTGAACCATGGTCAACCATATGGGAGTCCAGTACCTCAACCTCCACACCACCTGCTGGCCCCCGGAATGCTCTTTTAAAAAATCTGTTGAATGGGGGCTGGCAGGGGGCATGGTGGTCAGTGGCCTGGGACTCCCACATGGTCAACCATGGTTCAAGTCCTGGACCTGGTGGCTTGGTTTCTCACTTTCTCTCTCTCTCTCTCTTTCCCCCTCTCCCTCTCCCTCTCTGGTCAAATTAAAATAAAATAAAGTTAAATTTTAAAAAATCAGATGTATGATATTTTTTTGTCTTTTTTTTTTTTTTTCAACTGATATAAAATTAACTCATTCATGTCGAGTCTTGCCTTTGCTACTTACTGGGTCTGTGATTTTGGAAAAGTCAGTTAAGCATGCCAGGCCTCAGTTTTCACCTTCTGTTACACAGGTCTGAAAACTTATAGGTATACTACTGTGATTACATGCATTTGAATACATTTGATAAACTGCAAACAGCTACAAAAATGTGAGTTGTTTTGTCAAATATATCCCTCATGTTACTTGCTAATCACAAAGGAGAAACGTACTCTTACCATGGAGGAGATCTGGCTGGCCCCACTTTAACCCAGTTATCCAACTTTACATCGCTAACCCTGGGACAACCAACATTTTATGAGGTCCTTGGTGTGCTGCAGCGTGATGTATTCAACATTCCTTAATGAAGATTTCTAGCCAAAAATGTTGAAAGTGAATCTAATCAAAGCTTTAGATCTATCCTCCAGTTTACAAAAGGCTGAAGGAACCAGTTAAACCATACCCCCAAAGAGACCATCAGATAAACCAAGAGCATGAAGCATTCCATAAGACAACAGTTTGACAAACCATAAGACATAAAATTTAGGAAGGGTCATTATTCTAAATTAAAAAAAAAAAAAATTAACAGATACAACTAGGGGCCAGCAGGCGGCACTGTGGTTGAGGCTTTGGACTCCCACATGGCCAACTGGGTTTGAGTCCCAGACCTGGTGGCTTGCTTCTTCACTTTTCTTTTCTCTCTCTCTGTCACTCTCTGGCTAAAATAATTATAATGATAATAAATTAAATTAAATTAATTCATCTTTTAAAAAAAGATACAAACATATGACTGGATTCTGGTTCTGAAGAAACAGCCTTTAGACATTTTTAGGATAATAGGGGAAATTTGAAAATAGGCTGGTATTAGACATTAGTAGGCAGCTATTAAATCTGTTCAGTGTAGGGACCAGCAGTTAACGTAATGGCTATGTTGCTGGACTTCCATGTAGTTGACCGCGGTTCAAATCCTGGACACAGTGGCTTAAACTCACACTGGACATGTGTGCGTGTGTGCCCAAGATCCTGAGAGGAGAATAGAGGAAGGATTGCTGTGTGGCCATCCACCCAGAGGGTGATTTCTCACTTTCTATCTCTCTGTCTCTCTCTGTCTTTCTGGTGAGCACACACGTCCTATAGCAAAAACCTCTCCAAAAAAATAAATAAACAAATAAATAAATAATTTATTCAGTGTAATAATAGTATCTGGATATGAAGAGAAACATTTTTAAAATATGAAGAAATGTGCTGAAGGAGTGAAGAATCATGATGTGTTAATATCCTTTGAAATGGTTCAACACAAAAAGAAAGAGGAAGGAAGGAGGGAAGGAGCAAAGGAAAGAGGCAAAGGGAAAAGTAAACCAAGAAAAAGTAATATAAACTTTGGGGTGCTCATGCAGGTGGGTTTGCATGCTCCCACCCACACACCTCTCTCTACCTACAAAGCAAATGTAGCGGGATGTTAATCATTCAGTCTAGGTGGTAAGTGTATGGGTGTTTTTGTTTTGTTTTAATTTGCCAAAGTATGCTTATACTAGCCGGAGAGACAGAGAAAGAGACAGAGAAAGAGAGAAAGCACCTCCCAAGGTGGATGGCCTTGCCGCTATCTCTTCTCCATTCTTCTCCCAGGATTCTGGGCACAGACATTCACACACTCAGCATGTTTTCCGGCTGCCAGGTCTGGGACTTGAACTGCACATTTGCCCACATGGGATCTAACTGCCTTAATATCACCAGTTGGCCTGGTACATGGGTATTTATAGCACTATTATTTCTACTTTTATTGTACATTTGGACACATTTTTAGAATGTTTTAAAGGCTATGTTGACTTGTTATCCAACACTGTGACTAATGTGGCGCTTGACAATCTGGTATCCCCTCTCCTTTCCAGTCTCACTCTCTGGTCCTGATGAACTTCCCGCTCCAGTTAAACTGATTCACACACCTTCCTCCACATTTGCTCTATACTTTCTCAGATTAGGTCTTTGTACATGCCTTTCCTTCATTTAATGCTCCGTTATCCCTTCACAGAGTCTGCTCTGAATTCCCTGGTTACAAGTAAGGCTCCTTCCTCAGGACTTGAGAGTCTCCTATAATGTTAAGTATCTTGCCTCATAATTACACTCCGGTCGTATCTTCCCTACTGAGGGTGAATTCTTCCAGTGTGAGATTCGCAACATTTCATGACATCACACAGCTTCAG